AATAATAATAATAATAATAATAATAATAATAATAATACCACCACCACCACCACCACCACCATCAAATCATCAAACAACAACATCTGCCTATCTGGATGCATGATAACCCTAATTTACAACTTTTCATTGATTCTTTTTACTGTGGTTATTGAAACAACAATTCTGTTTACTTTTAGTCAGTTATCAATGTCCAGATGGGTAGCTATGAAAGAGAAAAATGTTCAAATCTCACTGGCCTATGGAATTTTACAAATTATACAGTTGTTGTTCGATGCAAGGTTAATGAGTCAAGATTCTGGAGTGAATGGAGCAAAAAAGCAACAAACAGAACAGAAGAACAAGGTAAGTAGAAACAGAGCTAAGTTTGGCATAGAGATTTAATTTGCAGAATTAAAAATGTTTAGTCATGGTTAATAAAGGTTAAAGTTAGAACTATAAGCTTTATTTTAAAAGCCGCAGAAATAATGGCACATATATTGTTTCAGCAACGTTTATACAGGGAACTCATTTAGTTTAGTTGGGTTGTAGGAGAAGAAAATATAAATAGTACAGGTGGCTCTTGTTCTTTGCAAGCATTTGTTCCAGCTAAAAATGGAGTTGTAGGGTACGTTCTAAAGCCTACGGTCATCTGCTTCTCCCATGAGCACTTCTTCCCAGCTGCCTTCCTTTAGAGCAACTTGTTTGGCTGGTGACAGAGGCAGCTCTATCTCAACCAGCAGAGGAGCACAGAGATGACCTTGGAGAAGGTATGCAGAGACCATTAGGAAAACATGGGCTCAGTATGAGAAAAGAAGAAAGCGTGAGAAAGAGACTTAAAGTGGTCCTGCCTTGATTCTTCTTGGTATGAAAGGAAGTGAAGGGGAGATACCACCAGTTTTCAAGATTCTGTTTTTGTAGCCTATATCAGTAAAGTAGAGTTCTAGTATTTCTTGTGGTGTTTGTTTCCTGACCTGGCCTATCTTGAAGGAGTGACATTGATCTTGAAAGGAAGCCCTGCTTATTTTTAACATGTGTTGCGTGCATGGCAGGGCTTTGATGATATGATTGCAGTTGATATCTTTGATGATATGATTGCAGTTGATATCTTTAACCTCTTTTAATTGGATTAAGCATTTCCAGCTTTTCAGTCATGATGCCCTGACATACCCAATTATTAGAATACAGCTGAAACTGCCCATTTGGGAAGGACAATAAAGAATTGGGTGTCATTGTGTTACTGTTAAGTCAAATGTCTGTTTGCTGCTAGAGAAGACTAACCATTAGTTAACCTACAAAAGGGCAGAGGCAGCTGTCTTAGTGATCTGTAAGAATAGGATGTTTATGCATTTTGTTTTCATATTTTAAAATTCTGTTTCATTTGTTTTTAATAGCTCCTTTGAAAGTAGACTTATGGAGAGTAATTGAAACTTTTCATCCTAATGGAAACAGAAGTGTGCATCTTCTGCGGAAGGTAACAAACATTAGGATATTTAAAGATTCCAATTTCTTTTTATGAATGTACTGGTTTATTTCTCAGTAGATTTTAATAGCTATATAGTAGAAGCTTTAAACTGTCAAAATCTAGGTTCTCTCTTCGTCTGGACTGACTTTTCCAGTGAAAGCATAATTTATATCCATTGACTTTGGAAAAGAACTGCATTTAAGTTTCTTATGCTAAATTCCTTTCAACAAATTATTAGTTTTTTCAAGAATAAAGAAGTGTTTATTTAAGAGGGCATTAATAAAGAAGTGTTTATCTAAGAGGGCATTAATTAAACATAGAAATGTACAGCTTTTTTCTTTTTGCTGAGAAACAGGAAAGATAAAGATTATATATATGGTTTCCAAGGTTCTTTACTGTAGCTTCAAGTCTGATATCAGGTTGAAGAATCCTGGTTATTAAAATTTCTTAAAATGAAATGCTGATATTTACAGCATCATGTTTTAGGCTAAAAAACCTAAGATAAAATTGTGTTCAAATAAAAGTAAGTTTTAAAAAACCCCACACTGATTAATGTTGTTTAGAGATTATACAGCTTTTCTGCAATTGCTGATGAGAATGCAGGATGGCTACTAATCCTGAAAGCTGGTGAAGCTGTGGTTATATGAAATGATATACGTCTGAGACCCATACAGATGGGCATCATTGGAAAACCTCTTCAAGTTGCTGCAGAAGTTGACTCCTTGTGAACGAACATAAGATTCTGGTGCTTTGCATAATTCTTCCAAAGGAAGCTTTCATGGGATCTAAATTGACTTCCAAAAGGCATTGGAGGAAAAAAAACATGCTGACCTTTTAATTTCTACTGCTTAACTATTTAGGTTTTAACAATTCTGTAATTTTACTGTTTAAATGTGTTTTAATCATTTACACATTTTTATGGTGCAAAATCGTCTGGGACTATGAATAACTATAACTCTGTAGCTAACACGGGAATATTTCTCAAGTGCCTCCTTTACTATTGTGTGTATTATTCACGCATTACGTTTTGAGGATGTCCTATACATGTTTAATCATTTGTCTTCTTAATTGCTATCATGAACTGACCAGGAACATAAAGAATTCCCATCTTCAGGAATAATAGTTGGCTATACAGTAAAGTACATCATGGAAAACAACACTACTGAATTAAAATACAATCAGAATGAGTCTGTAATTTTCAACCTGATGGGGGAAGCCTGTGAAATCAGTGTTATTGCTCATAACAGCGCTGGAGATTCTCCTGAAGCTACTATTAGAATTCCATCAATAGGAGAAGAAAGTGTGGGTACGTTTATGCAAATACACACACAATATATACACAAAGACATAGAAAGGGTTTGTTTTTGTTTTTGTTTATACTGTATACTGCATTACTACTTATTTGCCAAAGAGCAAATACTGGTGCTTTGTTGCAGAGCATCTGAGAGCGAGAGAAATTTGGAAGGGCCTGCTAAATATATAGATTCTTTATTAGAGGAGAATATTACCAAACAACTTTGCTATTACAGTTATATATGCTATGGTAAGAAACTTCCTCCAGCTCTGAGATCAAATCATAAGGTATCTTATGAAAGAAGAAATAACAACTGGTCTTTGGGCCTTTTGTTAGATGAAAATGGCCTCTAAGCTTTCTTACATAGATTTAAATATGTATATATAAGCAAAGACAGGTGAGAATAAAGTTGCGTCGTATAAATCAGGGATGTGGGCAAAATTCAGGAGTATGTGTGTGTGCGCGTGCGTGTGCGCATGTATAATAAGACAGCCAGTTTGGTGTAATGGTTAAGGCACCAGCTTAGAAACTGGGAGACCGTGAGTTCTACTCCCACCTTAGGCACAAAGCCAGCTGCGTGCCCTTGGGCCAGTCCCTCTCACTCAGCCCTAGGAAGCAGGCAATGGCAAACCACTTTTGAAAAACCTTGCCAGGAAAACTGCAGGGACTAGTCCATGCAGTCACCAGGAGTCAACAATGACTCGAAGGCACCAAAAATAATAAAATAAAATAAAAGTATTTATTTATTTACTGGGGCTTCTATGCCACTCCCATAGAAAGGTGTGGTGGTAATTATCTCAGGGGAACTATAGATGTAAGAGGCTTATGCAGAGTTTGCCATTTTGTAAAAAGAGATCTAAGTCTTAGTTAAAGGATGCAATACAGGATGTGATTTCTTTAGTCAAATAATTTGCTGTAGAATAAAGTTTAGCATGATATCATTGTATATCATTGAGATATAACAGTTCTATTCTGATCTGGAGCATCACCTTGAAGTGATTATGTGAGCAATCTGGGTGGCAAAGATTAGCTTTCCTGAGAAAGGACAGTCTCTAATATCTGTAAATGTTTTGCCAGTGTAATTCCACCTCCTGGATTAGAATCTTTTGCCAATCTTGCCCTATTCCTTTTCTTTTAGACCAAAACTTTTCTTCCTGTCAGTATGTCAGTATTTTATCTGCCAGTTGTAGGCTATTCTTCATATTCCAATGACATTGTTACTCCCCCCCGCCAAACCTATCCTTTACATCTTGAAACCCTACCTCCAAATCTTGGGTTCCTACCTGAAGTGTCTACGTGTTGCTTAATCCACTTATTTGAGCACCTTGCTACTGGGTTGGCATCTGCCCAGATAGAGACTTCATCTCACTGAAGCCAGAATTAGTATTAGAAATATTTTTTTCTTTTCTCACAGGATGACAAGGAATGGTGCTTTACACTTTTTAGCAACTAAGAATACTTTACTTTTATGTCCAAGTCTTTTATGCCCTTTTTTCCCCATGGGTTGGTACTTGTTCAGTGTTACATTCTCTGTGTAGGACAAAAAGTGTGCTGGTCTCTCTAGACTATCTTCATTGTAATATGGACTCTAGTACATCCTTCTGGATAAATGAGGAGTAAATGCACCCCATTTAGTTTTGCAAATCAAGTACATTGTAATATGGACTCTAGTACATCCTTCTGGATAAATGAGGAGTAAATGCACCCCATTTAGTTTTGCAAATCAAGTATGCCCTTCAGTTCATGTTTCACCATTAGTATGATAGAGAGTGCATTCTCTTTCAGCCAGGCCAGCTTGTTATTTTCCTATCACTGTGACTACACCACAAAAGAAGGTTGCTTATCTGGAGTTGAAGTTCTTCTGATAATCATCTTACTCCTCTTCCTCAAGAAGGGCAAGATAGTTGGTGTCCCTCTTGCTATCTTTTCAGTTGTTTCTTCCTGTGTCATTAGAAAGGACTTGGCTCCCTTTGCAGGATTTGCAACAGATGTGATGTTTCATTTGGGAGGAGGTTGGAGCAAGTCCTATGTTGTTTTGTGTGCCTCAGTGTTATGATCCACAAAACCTCTAGGAAAAAGATCATTTACAAATTTGTGCCTGTTCCTGCTTACCAGTGAACAGGTGAGTGGCCAAAGAGTTTGCATTAAGTACTAAAGCAGTAAAGTGGCTAACAGACACTTGTGTCTTAAAAACTTGTGCCTGAGAGATATGCGATAGCTTAATGTCCTCATTTGGGAGATTAGCTGAGCTGAATTTTTTTGCATTTCCATTCTTAACTCTGGGACTGTTTGCGACACCAGGATTTGGCATAAATTCTGTATGCATAGGTGTTTCCATCCCATTAGATAAGTGTAGTCTTGAGCATTTAGAGAAAGGAATGTCCCAGTGAGACACTTCTCTGTAATTTGAACATTTCACTACTATTCACTGTTTATTTTTGCACCCTGGATTGATAATATATAGGTATTCCAGTTTACGTTGCCACATCTTCTGTCAGGAAACACATGAAACCCTTTCTCAATATTTTAAAATATATATTACCATACTGTAATTTACTGATTTCTTTTGCTGTAAATCATCCCTGCCGAGCATTGTCAGTTGTAATCACTGCTTAAATTGCTGATCTATTTTACCTGGTTAACATGGACAATTATTCTCTTAGAACATCAAAGAATTGCTAGTCTGAAGGCTTCTCCTTCAGGAGAGGAAATGATTTTGACATGGGATCCAACAGATTCAGAAATAAATGGTTATATTATAGAATGGTACGATGAACTGGAGACAGACCCAGACAAGCGATCTTGGGATAGAATAACAAATATCACAGAATGGACTTCCCCCAAAGGTATGTTTTTAAGGCTAATTACATACACTATGTGTGGGAGTGATTCTAAGTATTGTCTTTTTACCTACAGTATGTTTTTCAGTTATGTCCTATCTCCCCTCTCTATTTTTCTTTTATTAAAAATGGACATTACATTGAGAGATTTATTTGGGAATTAGCAGTGTACATACATATCCTTTGTGTTATTTTTTTTTTTAGAGTAAGCAATTTTAGGACAAGCACAGAAAAGGAGTAAGAAATACTAAGCCAGATAAATTAAAAGCATGAGATAAGAAAAATAAAAATAAATATAGCTATGTCTAGTTTACACCAATGTCATCCACTATGCTGCTCCATATTTGCAAATTATACTTACTTTCGCCACGTCCTTCCTCTGCCTTTTGTTCTTTAAACTTCTTGCTAATCTTTTATTGAGGCTCTTCTCAATTGCAGCTACAACTTTCTATGCTTTCCCCTTTCTCTTGACTGATGGACCGCTTTGCAATTCGGTCCTCACTCATGTCTCTCGGATGAAACCATCTGAATGTATTTTCATGCTGTTCAGTCCTATTTGACCTCACTCCCACATTCATTCATCATTTGTGTAGTCTTGTCCCCATTGTGTCCTACTTTACCACATGCATATCTTAAGTACCCCATTCCTACTGCATTCAACTTCCTTTTACATTCAACGTGCATGCAAGTGGATAGAAGCACATTCTTATATACAGCTAGTTTTGCTTCTTTTGATAAATATTCATTCCTCATAGCAGACCACATGGTACCACTATCCTACCACCACCACTGGCACCTCTTAAGATTTCTCCATGACTCCATCCATTTCTCCAGCTTTATTCAACATTTTACCACAGTATACAGTGGAACCTCGGGTTACGAATTTAATTCGTTCCGTGACTCTGGTCGCAACCCGAATTGGTCGCAACCCGGATGAAATTTCCCCATAAGGTTCAATGTAATTACTGTTAATCCGTTCTGGCGTGGAGGACAGGGAGGCAGCTATTGCTTGGAGGGAGAGTCCCCCTCCCTACAACCACGTGTCATGGCGGAAAATGGCCATGGACCACATGTCAGGGGCGGAAAAATGGCCGCGGACCGTGTCACGGGAGGGAAAAAGACCACGTATCCTGTTCGTACCCCAAGGCGGAGTTCGCAAACCGAGGTAAATTTTTGCGGCCGGAGCTGGTCGGAACCCAAAAAGTTCGTTAACAGAGGCGTTCGTAACCCGAGGTACCACTGTACGTGCTTTAGTTGGTCACCATTTATATAGATTTTGTGTGTGCTTAGTGTTATTTACGAAGATCTCTGAGTGTTACTTAAGCAAAGGAGAATGCTTCAGAACTTTGAAGTTTTCGAGAGTAATCCACCCTCAGTTGTTGTATGCTTTGAAAAGTATCATTATTGTGATGAGCACAGAATGCATTTATATAACAAGGCACAATAATATCCACGCCTAGCTACAAATAATACATATCATCAGCTTAATCATTTCTGCATGTTAGGGCTATTTCATTTTATTGTATATTTATTGATGCTTCAGTGTTTGTCTATGAGTCACAGTCTCTCAAATATTTTAGAAAGGGGGATTTAAATTCTAGAACTAAAGAAAGCAACATCACTAAACTTGTGATCTCTGGCAATATACTTTCTTCCTCTCTTGCCTTATAGGCAAGACGTTTCCTTTTCCATCTGCTGCCTTTGCCAGTCTCTCTTAAATATGCAGAATTTGACTTGCCAAATAACAGGACTGTCTTTTTCAGTAAACAAATGATTGATTAGATTGTCTTCCATTGCTGCTGAAGCTGAGTTATGTAATTCAGTATGCACACAACATTTTTGGCATAAAGGAATGGCTGTTTTGAATGTTCTGCTTCGTGTAATTATGTTCTGCTCTCCTGCCAAGATAGTTCAGCAGTTCCAAAAGTGCTCTTAAAAATCAATCAAAAACAGAAGAATTCTGAGCCTGTTGATGGTGTCTTTGGCTTGGGATTCACTTTCCTCAGAAGGCATTGGCCTTAATTAGTTCAAGGGGAAAGATGGGGCAAGCATTTTCTCACACTGTTGTTGATTCTTCAGAAGCTGATAGCAGAAGCTTCTGACCTGGTTTTGTCCCAGTTTTAAATGCTTTTAGTTTAATTGCAGCTACTGTGGAAAGCTTTTTGTGCTTTAAAGATTTTAGCCTTCCTTATATTTTATTTATTTATTTATATTTCAAATTTGGACACCGCCCATCTCACGAGGAGTGACTCTTGTTTATATCATTTCTGTGATTTCTGCTTATATGTTGGTTGGTAATTTGAGAACAGCAAGTTTTGGAAAACAGTATATACGTGAGATAAATGCATACTCATATGCACAATAGTAAGAATATAAAGATAGTCCCAAATGTAGCAATCTAGTTTAGGAGTAGGTTTTAAACTGCATACTGTAGTTCCACCCAGTCCAGCAGGGAAATGAATATTTGTAAAGCATTGCCTATGCTAGATTGGTATGTTAACTTATCTGTGTGGCAGATGTAATACAGAGGCAAAGCGTAACAGAGTTGGGCAGGGGCATTGGCAGGAGGGGTGAAAAATTTCACAAGATGGTGGTTGCAATTGTATGATTGAATTTCTCCTCTTTTTTACATGCTATGGTGCATAGTATGGTGCATGTAAAAAAAAGCCAGGGTTTTAATTACACAGTCATGGCTGCCATCTTGACTTTTTTGATTCCCCCCCCCCCATGGATGCCCCCTGGATTTGGGAATATTTATTAAGTACAGTACAAAAGTAAAATTCTTACCAAGAGTTTGAAGCCTTCACTCTCATGTTTTATTTTTCTGCCTTTTTTGGCAGTGTAGCATATAAGTAGCATTTAATAGGATTCTTGCGAACAACCTTGAAAGAAGGGTAATATTCTATTACTTTTGTTTTCTTCCAGGAATCTTTAAACGCCATACATGCTATCATTTTTCAGTATACCCTCTGCATAAAGGTGAAATAAAAATGCCGAGTTCTACCAATATCTACTTTTATGAAGGAAGTACGTATAAACAGTGGTCCTGGACTGATAGGGACTGAATTCATTACAACTTTAGCTAAGTAGCTAGCATGGAGGATACATTATTCAGCAGAAATGTCTTTTTCCAATTTATAATAAGGGGTTAACAAGTACAAAGGAAATCTGAACTTGCTTACCTCTTTGAAAATACTGGAGGATCATTTTGCAATCAAAGCTTTAGTAGGCAGTAGAAATTGTTATCTCCATCATATATGAGACCTACCTGTCACATTTCAATATCAACTACCTATTGGCAAAAATTCTCCCCAAAGCCCTGGCATTTTAGTCTCTCTTTACATAGATATTAGTAATATCTTCCTAGGCCAGTGGCCCATCTTGTTCTGTTTATATATGATACATTCCATTTCCAAAGTATCAAAACTCCTTCCATGATCCACATGGCCATTTCTTGTTGGAAGAGCTATTTCCTAATCAACTGCTATGATGCTTTGAAACTGTTAAAGTTACTCTGTATGATTTAGTCCCATCTATAGGTCCTAATGCTGAAGTGAAAAATCCTGGTAAAAATGATGCCATCATAAAATGGGAAGAAATTCCAAAATCAGAAAGAAATGGTGTAATTATTAACTATACTATATTGTATAAAGCAGAAGATGGAAAACAATTGGGTATGTATACAAGCATGAAACAAAAGAAGAGCTGTTGCCAATGCTTTAACTTCAGAGGTATGCTTTCTTCGTCTGAGGTAGCCTTTATTTAAACTTGGTGTCGACTGCTTTAAGTAACTTCAACTGTTATGTCTTTGTTTAATTGCCTAACCCTAACCCTGTTCTAGAGATGGAATTCTACTGTGCTCTCTTGTCTCTACTGAACATAATGCAGAAGAGGCTGTATACCTACCCCATTAGGATAGATGACAGCCTGGAATAATTTGAGTCAGCCTATTCCAGTTCTTTTTAGTCTTACATTCTTTGCTTCTTTAATATATTTCCTGATTTCTTTGGTTTCCTAAACATTCTCTAAAGCTGGTAGGAAAGGTGTTTGTTGTTACATAGAGATGGTCCTAGTTTGCTTGAAATGACAATTTGAGAACTTCTGCTGAAAAATACCTGGCCTTATAATAATGTCAGCATACAATGATGTGCTTTACAGTTGTGGCATTATTTTACCCTGTTGATTGGCTGCTTCTTCCGGGAATGCCCAGTAAAAAACAATTATAGGAGGCTGCCATTTGTCAAGCTGAGTTCCTGCGATACCCTAGTCTGTTCAAAGTCGTAGGTTTCAGATGGCTCACAGCGTTTATAATAGATGCAACATGGTTGCATGTTATTGCAATGACTTGAGTGCAGCAGAAAGGGAGATCCTTACTAAACAATTTCTACAAACAGACATTGTATCACAAGCTTGAATCTCTCTTGCTCTTGAATAAAGCAGACATTACGTTAATTTTAAAGAACAGAGGGAGAATAAAGGCTGTCACTGGCTCCTAGACATGATGTTGCTATGTTGGAGTTGTATAAGGATAACCCAATCAGTTTAATAAGTAGATTATTGACTCTAAAAATAGTCAGAATTGTGCTTACAGTTACGGTGGTAGCCATTCTAAGTAGTTTCTGATTCTGTAGTATGTATCAAGAAAACTGAGCTTTGCGTTCCCATTCTGGAGCATTGGGAAGAGGACTTTTCAGGTGTATATATGATGATGGTGAGATGGTTTTGGAGCAACAACAATCCACTCAACCTGCCACTCCACACAAAACAAAAACAAATAATTAGCAGCCCCATTACTGCAGGGAAAAAACCAAGTAGTTTGAAGGTGAAGACAATTTTACCCCAACTCCCTTCCCCTAGGTGCTGTGTACCTGAAAATTACAAGGGTCTACATACAGATCAGCATGCAGTTCTATGAATAACATAGGCAATCTCAGATGTATTTTAAAGCAGAATCAGCAAGATGATCTGGATTTTGTCATATATGAAAATCAGAGAGGTTGTTGTAAAGGAAGAAGGATCAAGCCACATTCCATATTAAGGGCCTGTAAGCAGAATGCTAGATCAGCTGAAGCTGAAAATGGACCACTTACAAGCTCTGCAGAGCTTCAGATTAGAAAGAAGATTAGATATGTCATAGCTGGGCCAGAAAAAGTTAAGATCAGTTGTCAGATAAGGATGCAGAAGTGCAGAGTTAATGCTGGAGTAGTGCAGCACTGTGTGAAAGTGCCTCAATTGTCACTTTGCTCAATCACACAGTATTGACAAACCAACAATATTTCCATCTCTGAGTCAGCAGATCAGAAAATCACATAGGTAATTGTATTTATTTTTCTGAATCTTTTTGCTGCTATCTAATGGCTGCCTGGATTTTTCAGTCCAAATCTGGTAGCCCTAACAATGGCTGAATCCATCTCCCCAGTGATCCAATAGCTGAATGACAAGAAACTAGCTAAATCATGATTTTCTGAAACTATCTTATCTTGCAAATGCCTATTGGGAAATAAAATATCCCTGGGGAAATCTTATCAGTCAGTCTGAGGGATGCTATTGAACATGTTCAATTCAGTAGAAAGCCAGGGTATAAATATAATAATTTTTTTAAAACGGGGGTGGGGGTTGCATCTTCCAATTAGATATCATGGTAGATTGGCTGAATGGACAGCAGTTGTGAATATCCTGCTCCAGTATAAACTCAATAGGAAATTACCTACAGTTCTTAGGTGCTGACAATATGCTTTTCTAACCTGTCCTCTAGACAAATACGTGAGCTGCTCTTTTCAATAGTTGTGAAGCCAGACGCTATGCCTCACACTGCGCCCCTGTTGATTAACTCTGTGCTTAAGAACTGTTCAGTCATGTTTCAGGGAGGGGTGGTAAAAAGAAAGAAAAATGAGAAAGGAAATGGCCTATAGAAAGAGTTTATAGAAGTAATTGCTGAGGTTGTTCCCCTCCTTTTATTATAATTCACTTAGAATCTGAAGTGGCATAAAAGCACTTGGAATGAATGAATGAATGAATGATGAAAGAGGCTTGAAGGAATGGCAGATGTTCTATGTTGGATGAGATAACCATTTAACCTTCCATTTATATCTTAATAGAAGAAACGGTGAATGGCAGTGTCCTGCAGTACCAACTTAAATCCTTGCAATCCAACACCAGGTACAGAGCTCAGATTAGGGCAAACACCACTGCTGGAGGACAAACTGGAAAAGAAACTTACTTTGTTACTAAGCTATTTAGTAAGTTATTCAAAACAAATAGCTTTTCTCTTCATATATCATTTTTTCTTAAGACATTTTTGTACTGTTTTTAACCAGAAAGAACCCAATGACTTCTAGATGAGTGAAAATGAGACAGTGCTAATCTTCTAGCCTACAAATGAAAAAGACACTGTGCTAGATCTGGTAGTGCTTCACTATATGGAATGGAGAAAGATAATAAAAACATTAAACAGCAGCATTTCTTAATGTGTTGCTTCTTAATGAGCTCTAAAGAATCTGTAGAGTAGTTAAAATTGTTTTAGTCATGATAACCATCTGAAACAGTTCATAGTAAGGAGAAGTCAGAAATTGCTGTATCTTTAGCTCAGCTATTACCACAGATGTGTACTTCTCTCTTTCTGGCTGCAACCTCATGGAATGAGTCCCACTAATTTCATTGACCCCTAGGTATGAAATGTCATTAGGAACTCTTGACTTAAATATTTGGAATTTGACATTTTAATTTGCTTGCTCTTCTTCCTCCCTCCTCTAGGTATAACAGACATTGTCTTTATAACTGTTTCCATTGGAATATTCATGTCATGCCTATTAATTGTTGGACTATTATGGGCTGTAAAATATCAAATGTGAGTATTTTTTAAAAAATGATTGAAAATGAAATGTCAATAATCAGTAATGTTGTCCAGGTCCATGCAAGTTCTTGCTTTGGCTAGCACATAACCTCAGTTTCCAGCAGTTCAAGGCTGTTGGCCTTTTTTTGACTTTTCCTCCAAGAGAGTTCATCTGTGAGGGTGTTGAGATTGTTTTTCCCATGTCTCACTTTGTGAAGTGAACAATGCTTAAATTGCTGGGTTAAACTGAGGTCATGTGACAAGGCTTGTTGCAAATCACAGTCCAATCTCCTTTGCCTTTCCCCCTTTCATTGGTTACATGAAGCTCCTTCTTAACATAATCTAAAGTTTTCATTATTCTTCAGATTGCTGCAGCTTTCAATTAAGAAGCTTTGGATGATGCAGTTCTTTATATTTCCCAAGCATATCATCCTGGTAAGGGGGCACAACAGCTTCCCTTGCCCAAGGATAGAGTTTTACAGTCTCACAGGTTATATACAACACAGTTTTAGGAACTAGCTTTAAGCAAGGACCAGGAAAAGTGTTCCCCTCCATATCCACTGGCACACTGCCCTGAAGTTACTGAAACATCTTTGAAATGTTGGGCAATTGTATGCATTTTCCCCACACTTAAACAACAACTGTATATATTCTGTATCAAGCAGGGAATACCAGTATCCAAAGTTCCCTCAAAATAGTCTCAACGCTCCAAATATTTCAATAATTCCAAGTGCTAAAATATGTCTCAAAATATTTCCATCTCAAAAGAAAAATTCCCCAAAGCAAAAATCCATTTCTCAGCTATGCAATGTTCTTTGCCCCCTGATGGTAACTACCCATATTCTCTGCCATCCTTGGGAGGGAGAAAGTTCTTTGTTTTCCCTCTCCTTAGAGTGGATTGTTTTATCTGGCTTGGAGCCTTTCACTGAATGAGACTTGTTTCTAAGTAGACATGTATATTATTGGGCTGTAACTTACTCTACTATTAGATGTATGAAAATGAGCCACTGGAATAGGAAGACAGAGGTCTTATCCTTATGATGAGCGAGTTTTCACAACCTAATACTGTAATGATAAAATACATAAATGAATCAGTGATCCTAGATAATGAAAGGAAAGAGCTTATTTTAATTTAAGGAAGTTGACCTTTCCTGAGATGTCACCAAATGCAAGTATTGGAGAACTAAATCACTTTGCTTTTGTTTTGTCAGGATGAAAAGGATTTGCTGGCCTCAGATACCACGTCCTGTAATAGCAAGTTGTCCTGCTGCATCTCAGGTAAGGACTGATCTTTGCTGAGCAACCAGGTTGTGGAAAAATTACTGTGATGGCTCAGAATTTTCCCCAGGCTTAATGCAACTTGAATCTTCTTGTGGTTATGGAGAAGAAGAATATAGCAGCCACGGACTTTGCTTTTCGAACTTTTTTCATCTCAGAAAGCTCAGATTCACTATTATTGGGGGTAATCTTATGATTTAAAAAAAAGGTGCAATTTTGCATAGCAAAAATAGCTAAGTGACCTAGCTGTAAATGATGAGCCTCCCAATTCATTTTTTTGCCATAACTATCATAGTCTGTTAGCCCAAAAAAGTTCCTTGTCAGCCCTTGAGATGTGCAGCAGCAGCCACCATTTCTGGGTGGCAGCAGCCATGAGATTGGATCCATTGAGGGAGTAGCCCCTACCCGTTGCATTGGTTGTCCTGGGTGATGCTGCCATCGCCCATCCTTCTTTCTCTCCCTTACCTTCCCTCTGAAAATGCAACTTGTCTTTAGACTCAAAGAGTGAGCTTGTAGTATCTTCTTTCTGGCCACTGCAGCTACAGTAAATTGCATACTGAAGCTGGTGAGCACCTGAATGAATAACCATATTAAGTAAGCAATTAGAGGGCAGAGGGACTGGCTGGTAGAACCTACCAAAAGTTTCTTGCTTGACTGAATGAAGAAGCAATGGCTCATAGGATAGACAAGCAAGCCTATGAGTAGCTACTCTTCTTTCTGCTGTTGCCACATCCATGTGGACAGTGACAGCAGTAGAATTGCCTGTTTTTCTTTTCTTTTTTTCATCTACATCTCGCTTGGTGATGGTTCCTTCCATTCCTCTCAACCAAGCTGGTACTTATCAGCCCATTCTTTCTTCTAGCAGTAGCTGGTTGTTGCTGGTTATTGTCCTGCAAGTAAAGGGAACAAGAACCTTTGTTCCCCTTGCCTATTTATTATTATTTTTTTTATTATTAACTTTATATGCTGCCCATCTCTCTCAGAAGGCAACCGTTATCTCTGAACAACAGGAAATGAGCAATGGGCATGCAGTGAGCAGTGCCCATATTTCCAGAGGGGAACAATTAACCCTATTGTTTCTGAGAACAGCCTATAGGGCACAAATGGCAACTTTAGGCCTCCAGTAGATTGAGATTGTCATGTCTGATACAGTCTCTGCAAACAACTGCCTGAACAATTTTGAAAAATAAATTAGGACCTTCGCTTTTTTGTTTTGATTTAGTGCATGTTTTACAACTGTACAGTTCAGTTAAGATGCTATATGTACACATGGAGGTTCACTGATGGTTTGGTTCACGTAATTTTGATAGATGATATTATTCAAGAAGTTTACATTGCATGTTAATACACAGTTTAGCTTGCAGTATCTTGTGTTAATGTTAATCACTTAACTAAAATTGAAAATAAGGAAGTTAAATTTTCACTAGTAAAGGAAGCTTCAATTCTTCAAATCTGTATTTTTCCTGTCTCCAACAGAAAATCATACTGGGCAACTCACCTTCTGAGGATGACATCAATATTTTGAAAACAGATACTTGCAGTGAGAATGAGTTACCGTTGCTGAATCCTGAAGACTGCTTCAAACAAGCAGATGTTACTGCAAAAATTATGGTTGCTGGTCAAGAGACTTTTTGCACTGGAGAATACAAAGCTCTAGAGTGTTTTCTTCCAGTGTCATCTTTGAAGGATGACTCCAAGAATCAAATACTTCCAGCTGTGACCAGGGATTCCGAAAGTTATGTAAATGAAGAAATGCCACATCAGGTAAATTTAAAGGAGAGAACTGAATTTAATCCATATTTGAAAAACTCAGTTTGTACAAGAGAGTTCCTGGATTGTGAGAATGTAGAACAAAATACAAAAGAAACTGAAACCCAGCATGTTCCCTTGGCCTGTTACATACCAAATAGCACTGGACATCCTTATATAGCACTGGATACAGTTAATTAAATTCTCAAAGCATAAATTGCAAGATACTTTAAAAAAAAAATCCTATGGGACATCCTATGCTGAATGACCACTCGTTGCAGCTGCTGTTGTACTAAATAGTGACCATGTAAGAACTGCATGTTTTTTCAACTATTGCAAAGTGGTTGATACATTTTGTTCCAGATTTGATTATTAGGAGATATAAAATACTCACATCAGGGTGTCATGTTTTTTGCTTGCTGTGTTTCCTAATAAAATATAATGATTAGCTGAATGAAAAAAGTGGATTAAGAAACTTTAGATGATGAGGAAAATGCAGCCCTGTTATGCCTATTGTCTCTGAAGGACAAGAAATGAGCAGTGGGCATGCAGTGACCAGTGTACACCCTTCCGGAGGAGAACAATGAACCCTATTGCTTCTGAGAACAGCCTATAGGACACTAATGGCAGTTTTAGGCCTCCAGTAGATTGAGATTGTCATGTCTGATACAGTTTCTCTGCGAAGAACTGTCTGAACAATTTTGAAAATTAAATTAGGACCTTCGCTTTTTTGTTTTTTGTTTTGATGACATTGATTTAGTGCATATTTTGCACCTGCACAGTTCAATTAAGATACTGCACGTAACACATGGAAGTTTCACTGATAGTTTGGTTCACATAATTTTGGTAGACATGACATTATTCAAGAAGTTTACATTGCATGTTAATACCCACTTTACATTCTTAACTGAAACTGAAAATAAGGAAGTTAAATTTTCACTAGTAAAGGAAGCTTCAATTCTTCAAATCTGTATTTTTCCTGTCTCCAACAGAAAATCATACTGGGCAACTCACCTTCTGAGGATGACATCAATATTTTGAAAACAGATACTTGCAGTGAGAATGAGTTACCGTTGCTGAATCCTGAAGACT